TGGCACAATCTTGACCTTTTTCAAGCATCGCTCGCCCTCGCCGCCTCCAAGGAAACGAGCGCCTTCTCCACCGCATGAGGCCGTACCAGAGGATAATCCAGACATTGCTGTACGTGTTGGACGCGTCCGTCGCGTCGTGACGCGCCGCATTGCACCGCAATCGCGCATAAATCCTCCACCCAGACATCGCTAATGCCATGCGCTATAGTTCATTGTAATGTTTCGGTCGCGCTTCAACGAAGCCTTTCCTCGCGGTTCGCCTCACGTAGGGCCTCAAGACATCGAACAGGGTGTCGCGGAGGAGACGCCGTCCGCCGATGTCGAAGGCTTACTATGCGCCCTGCTCGGGCTCGTCCTCAATCGCAAGAAACCTGTCGAGTCAGTCTGACCCCTTTGCTCTTCAAAAAGACATATTCTCCGGTCGCGTAGGCCTTACAGAGCGGATGGCATAGTGCACGCGCTGACAAGTTGTGTGTTCTACAGGAAGGGTCACTACGGTCGCGCCCTCGAAGAGGCCATCCAAACCCAAAAATCACAATGGCCCACCAAATGGACTGGCAACCCCCTCAGTGGCGGTCGCAACTTCAACACAATGACAGCGGAAGAACGGGTAAGTCGCCGTCTGTCCTGATATCGCCAGATGCTAACTGTCGCCCAGATCACCCTCCTCCACTCTCTCTGCCTCTGGAGCCTCAACCAAAACGAGCAAGTCAAGATCATGATCAATACCGCATACAAGTCCCGCACTACCAAGGACAAACAAGATACAAACATCCCGTTGTCGGTACAAGCGTGGGGTCGCGATGGTGACAAACGCCGGTACTACCTGGTCGAAGGGCAGAATGACACCCACTTTCGCATCTACCGCGAGAGCGATCCCAAACTCAAGAACGTACAGTGGATCAGTGTCGCTGGCTCAATCGATGAGCTAAGAGCGCTTGCGACGAAGCTGGAAGAAGTAGACGGACACAAAGAGGCCAAGGCACTCGGCGAGCGCATGCTCAACGCTGTGCCACGATTCGAGGCTTCAGAAAACGTATGTCCTCGTTTCTTCTATACATTGTCTTGTGCTAATAACCATGCAGAAACGCAAGCGACGAGAGTACACCCGTCAGCGCAAAGACGCTTTCACGCGCCCAGAACTCGGTTTCTCCCTATACGAAGGCCGCACCCGTGGCAAGCGCCAACGATATACGTTTGATGAAGAGGACGATTTTGACTCGGACAATACATCTGTACGTCGGTCAGGGCGGCAGTCAGGCCGCGACACACCCGCTGCGCCTTCTGGTCCTACTGTCACCGCCAGCGGCCGACAGGTCCGGTCTCGAGCAACAGGCTTATACGGTGAGACACTACTCAGTGGACAAGCTACCGATCACCCATCGCCTGCAACTGGCGATTACATACGGTCTGATGTGTCTGAGGAACCACAGTCAGGCCCTGGCCGATCAACCCGCGCCGCCAACAGGGGTACCGCCAACGGCCGCTCACTGAACCGGACAGTAGATTCCGAAGATGAGGAGGATGCGACATCTTGGGACGGTGGAGATGATGACGAGGAAGAGCCAGATCAGATGGAGCTCGACGATGATGAAGACGATGCGGCGGAGGATTCGTCAGATGAAGAGGAGGAACCACACAGCCTCATGGTCACCCTGCGTTACCGGAAAGGCGCAACTGATGGCTCTGCTGCTCCCAATCAAGACGCACCCATGGCAAATGGCGTCGACCACGATGCTACTGCTGCGACACTAGGCGACACAGGCGCGCCCAAACAGCCCGAAATTGCGCCTGCCCCAGAAACCTCAGCTCTCACATCCGAGCCCAGTTCCAACATGAACGGGATCTCCCAACCTGTCGTCCCCGTTGCAAACCAACAGCTTCCTACAGGCAACCCAGAAGCGCTCCCCAAACTCGATGGCTTCTTCTCCGCCCCAACGCCGCCGTACAGCGCCCCAGAGGAAGCACCAAAACACCAGACTCCCGTTGACGTCTCTACCAATTCTTATGAGGCAGCTCCACCACCGCAACATCCCACACCTGCTCCGACCGCCAGCTGGCAATAGACCTGCCTGCGCACTTAATCAAGCCGTTTTCTCATGCATGCTACACATCATTTCCCAAATGCCATGTGCGGTTGTCTTCAATTCAATTTTATCCGCGTTTTTCTTTCCCTGTCTTGTACCGTCCCTGTCATAGCTAGAGAAAGACAGATACCCATGGCGTTTTCCATTTCTTTACCTCCTGTACCTGAAGATGGGAGGTGAGATTAAGGTGTTGTCTCTCGTCGGATTAGCGTTGTGTTAGGATACGTACGGGCATCGGATGTCTACGTTCATGTTGGGTGCTGCTCATGAGTGGTAGACAATGGCACTTCTACACAAAGGAAATGATTGCCTGGGTGACTGGGATACAGACACTCGATAGGCACTGAGGGAAGTGTGAGAGGAGAAGTTCAATAAATGCAACTTGTGTTGTCATTATGAGCAGCTGTGCGATTGTGTTGTGATGCTACTTGTGAACCAGGTATAGGCACTGTATCGTGAGCTTCATATCTAGCGAAGCTCACCATACTGTGCCTATACCTGGGCATACGTCTTGCTTCAGCCACATCAGGTCCATACCTAATCAAATAGATCTGAACCTGATGCGCCGAAAGCAAGACGTATGCTTTCGCTCCACAACGCCGCCGCCGCTACTGGTATTATATACATTCAGTCATGTCATCATACACATACATCCATTTCACGCTTCACCTCGGTAAAGCGCCCGGTATGGCTCCCGCAATGCCCGTCGTAGTCCGACTCTGCAGTTTGGGTCTACCAGACCCCTTGGGCCGGTCTCTCTGCTCGCCGCGCCACCGCATGCCGTCTTCCCGGGTATTCCTACTCTGGCTACGCGAGTCCGTTGCACTGGGTTTTCTAACCCCAGCTCTAATCTCCGCCTCTCGCATCTTCTGGCCTTCTGCTTCTATGCGCTCTTCTAGGGTGGCGTTTTCGGCGATGGGGCTGGGGATGAAGGATGTTGAGCCGGGAGCTGTGCCGTTTCCTTCCATGACGGCGATTTCGTCGTCCTCATCCTCTTCGTTGTCGCCGGCGGCTGCGTCGGCGTCTTCGGTGGCTCCGCCTCGTGTGTTGTGTTTGCGGGGCCAGAGTGAGGGGAGCACGATCTGCTGGAAGCGGGGCTCTACGGCTCGTTCGTCGAACCAGGCGTGGACGCGGGATTCGATGAGCTGGGCGATCTTGGGTACGTCTTGGAGGCGTGATCGCGAACCGACTAGAGAACGCACGGAGAGGTCGAGGCGGTAGTCGTCTAGGAAGGTGAAGGCTAAAGTGGTGGGACGGTGTGGTGGGGCGCCTGATGAGGATGCTGGACGACTCGGCGAGGAACCTCGGTGTGTGTTTGATGTTGGCGATGGCATGGGCGCGGTGGTTGGTGGAGGCGAGGAGGAGGGTATGAAGGACACGGCGAGGGTCCCTGAGAATCGTACAATGCTCACAGCGAGCGCGACTGGCAAGACTGCGGACATGGGTTTGGGCCAGTTCAGGTTCAGTGTCGTCTCTACACCGATGGTAATAACATCGCTCAGATCAACGTCCATGCGCGCTTGCAGTCTCTCCTTCTCATCTGTATTGCCTGGCCCGTACCAGAATCCGTCTTCTGCTGGCATGACTCTGCAGTTGCTGAAGATGGGGAACTCGTCACCCAATGCTATCTCCGTCACCCTGATCTCGCCAATCCAGTCCGGCTTGCTGCCCGTGTTCAAGATGTCGGTGAGCGAAGTAAGGATCGCATCGTCTTGTCGTGCGTCAGCTCGCAGCTGTGCGATTGTTTGCGCAATGAGCACATTGAACCAGTCTAAGCTCTCTGGTTGGTGTCCCTTTACGTTGTAATACGTCTTCGCGAGGATAGTCTGTATGCTTGGGCCTCCCCTGCTCTCCTCGCCTTTTCGTATTATACTTCTCGATGGCTTATGCCGTAAGGAGAGAGACGTCGAGTTTGCGCGCGTTCTCAATTGCTTATACGACTGTTGGTGTGCCAAAGTTCGAGCTCGGCGGAGCGAGTTGAGATGCAATGCGCGGTCGTCGGCGGACGGTGGCTCTCCGAAGATGAAGAACTTTATGAAGCAGAACATCAAAATCGCAATCGAAAGCTGTCCAAGTAGGAACCCTTGTGTAAAGGAGAGTCTATGGTAGGTTAGCGGGGTCTCTGCATTTGATGGGCAACTGTACGATGACGAGCCGCCCTGTGTGACGGGCAGCGCCACGGGCGTGGGCACTGATTTGACCATAGTCGCGACTGGGGAATTGCTACCGCGTTGACAATTGCATATTGGGTGTGGATGGTGATTTCGAGCAGAGGCTGAAAGACGTAATTGTGCATCGGGACCTTGGAAGGATGCCGACCTAGCCATATCGATAAGCCTCCTAATCACTCCACGCCCATCTCCGCAGCCCCGAGGTCTCCCCAGACTCAGACCCGCGACGAGGCACGACTCTACCTAGGATGCCCCTTCTCTCCAAGGTCGTCACCTTTAGGACCCCCACCAACCGCGCCGCTGCCATTAAGGCGAACAGAGTCATCCGATCCATCAAGAGTAGATACCGCGCCCAGGCCTTCCTGTTCCTCGCGTACCACTTCTTCCTCACGTCGCCTATGCACCTCGACATCTTCATCATGTTCTTCATCCTCGTCAGCAACTTCATGAACCGGCAACAGGCCTTTCCCAGCCAATTGGTCATCGAGGGGCTCCGCTTCCTGATCGACGAGAGGAGGTTCATCATGCCTTGAGTGCTAGTCCTACCAAGCCTCACTTCCGACGCGACACCGAAATACCCTGGATTACTCGCGTACACACATCAAGTGCGCGACGTGGCTTCGTTGCCCCTTCACCTGAACCAGACGGAGATAGCGGCAGTTGCAAGTCCGATTGGTTGCCAAGCTCCCCACCTCTGGACCAGTTCAAGATCGCATACCATTGTAGCGTCTTCAACCTCCTTATGGATTTCGATACCCAGAGTCAGAGCCTCTCGCCAGGCGCTGCAACTCACAACCCCAATCTCATCCTTCCAGCAACTTGCGACCCACCATCTGAGCACAATCCGCCCAAGCGAGCAGTATGGATAGTAGGTCATCAAGCATGCTGCCTTGATCTCGATAGCTGACATCTTCCTTTAGGTCTTCGGAGCGACCGGTCACATGGGACGATCCCTCGTTCGAGCGATACTAGCGCACGGCGACCAATGCACCGCGGTGGGATGGACTGAAGAGAACACACCTGAACAGATGGATAAGTGGAAGAGCAGAAACTGCTTGGGCTTGCTATGCGATGTCAGAGTGCGCGAGACAGTGGATCAGGTCATCAGGAAGAGCATCGAATACTGGGGCCAGGTGGATGTCATAGCGAACAGCACCGGCTACGGCGTCATAGCAGCATGCGAGGATCAGGACGAGTACGACCTGCGCAATCAATTCACCACAAACTTCCTCGGAACCCTACACATCTTGCAACTCTCCCTCCCCTACTTTCGCTCACAAAACTCCGGTCGATACCTCATATTCTCATCCACGGCTGGAGCCCTTGGCGTGCCTGGCCTCGGCCCGTATTGTGCGACCAAGTACGCTGTGGAAGGACTAATAGAGTCGATGTTGTACGAAGTCGATATATTCAACATCAAAGCAACACTGGTCGAACCTGGACATGTTCGATTGGACGAGCCAGATGACAACATATTACCACCCAGCTATACTTCGATGCCCGTTCCAGGAACAGGTCCGCCGAAGCCGAAACGTTACGGTCATTTCTTCGTGAAACCGAACCCCAGCGAGCCCTACTCGGGACTGACAAGCCCCGCGCAACACGCGCGACGGATGGTACAGTGGCTGAACGACAGACAGCCGGTGAGCGCAGTGAAGAGCGCAGAGTTGGTGTGGCAACTGGGTCATTGCAGCTATCCTCCGTTGCGGTTGATTTTGGGTAGCTACGCGGTGGAAAGTATTCGCGACAGACTGAAGAGCATCACTGAAGAGGTAGGCATTATCCTTTTTTTGCTACGCCTAACATATTGACTCTTCACAGATCGAGGACTGGAAACATCTCTCGTTCCCTGTTTCTATGCCTCCGGAAGACGAGGACGGAAAGGATAATCTCAAAGAGGAGCAGGAGCAAGACGACGAACATATGCAGGACTGAATAGGAATGTCCGCTATTGGTACAACTGACGCGTGGATTGCGCATGCTTGTACCCGCTTGTACAGATACCACAACTTCGAATCTTATCGCTAAACACAACGCGACAAACGGCATATCGGCTTTTTGAACATTTACAGTATTACGATGTGGTTGCTCTTTCCATGGATATGTCGAGAAGGACGAGAGCAAAATCTTTCTTGGATTACAGCCATTGCTAATTGGGTCAGCTCGCTTCGCATGCTGTGCCCCCTTGATCTATCTGTACAACAGAAGGTAGAAACACGCGATGCGAACTTGTTTGCTGCTTCCTTTGTTGCACGAGGTTTGCTTGTTACTTACTTACCGTGCTTTCTAGCTGCATCTATTACTACATCTTGTCCCTTGCACCATCTGGAATCTTTCGATTCCACGCCAGACTGCTGTCATGGACAACGAAATCCGACCGGCCTGGCACTCCCCGACTTTCGCTCCGAATTCTCCTGGGACCGATCGAGATAGCTGGAAAACCGCTCCAGGTTCACCGAGAGAAGACTTGAGATTCAAAATTGACGCTGTTACTGAGGATTGCGGAACGTATTCCAGCGATGTTAAGAAGTCGAGTAGACAGCCACACGCACTGAGGCGCGAGTATAACGAAAAGATTGACCATTCCGAACATGATCCAAACGTTGACGGCATCGACTGGAGACCTGGCTTCAAAAACCAGTTTCCATGGATCGGTTTTGCAGGCCTCATGGTCATCTTTGTGGCGACGGCTACGGCTGTGGTCATTCTGGTGTCCTCGCACAAGAAGCGCGTCAAGGATTGGCCGTTTGCAAGGTAAGTCTGACAGATGCACCTTGAATCGGGTCGCGACTGATGGAACAGTTTTCCTGCTCAGCCCAACGTTTTACTCAACGTTGCAAACCAGATCCAGAATCTGGGGTTGATCACTCTGGTCAGCCATGGACTGGCTATTGCATGGTGGAGAACAGCCCTGCGCGGTAGCTCTCTCCGCGTGCTACATAAGAATCACGCATATTCTTACAGCTTCTACGCGATTGTCACCTCCGGCAGGTACTTCAATCTGGTCGCCCTCGCCGCACTTATGACGAAGTTTGCTGTCGTGGATAGCACTCTATTTCAAAAATCGACGAGGACTATCGTAACTCAGCAAAAGGAGTACGCCAATTCCACCATGACTGGATGGGTTGAGAGAGAATGGCCAGTGAATTTCGGTGGTATCCCAGGAGCTGATGGAAATGTCAAGATGGTGGATGCAGCATGGGCAGGCGTCCTGGATGCGTACTACGGCAAGCTCGCCAACGGGAAGGTGCACGATACTCTCAAAAACAACGCGTCTTTCTTCGGTTGCCCTTATCGACAAGAGTGCAGAGGAGCTATTGAGGGCCTTGGCTTTATGTTTGACTGTACCAGCCGGTACAGCAATGTTGACTACGGATTAGCATCAGAAAACGCACCATCATACCCGCTGTGGAGCGTCAACTTCAACCCGTCATGGGCGACCGGAACGAAACCATACGCCAGTATTAATCTCGAGATGATGTATGTAAACAGTCAAGCTGGAGACACGGAGGACTCCTGTCCAGGAAATGTGACTGTACGCACTTGCAAAATTATGCCTGCAGTCATCCAGTATCCTGTCACTGTTATGATACCAAGCGAAGAGGAATTGAATGGCAGGAACATCGTCACACATGTTAAGTTCTTCAATAACAACAACAAATCCTGGCCTATCGGTTCTGATCTCAGCAATGTTACACAAATCGATGGGTTGAAGGTGCTCCACCAGGTCAATCTGCAAGAAAAGTATGGCGAGATCTCTACGGTCGGAGCTCTAACTTACATTATGAACAATCTTTACGGGTCTTCGGCAAATCTTACCTACAATTACGGTTGGGATCTCGTCTCTCGAGGCGCTCCCACCCAGACGGTATTCTACGCAGACTCCAATGTGCCACAGAAGGACCGCTGCTGGTATACTATCGATAAGCCCGGTCGAGATGATCCTACCATCGAGATTTTGCGCAAACTCAACACCTTAAGCTTCGTAACCGCTCTGTACATCAAAGGCGCACCTACAACCGATGTCAACAAACGCAAAGCCCTCGGCATGGCCAGCCAGAACATCACCACGTCGATTACCGGCATCGTAGAGGAATATCAAACTTCCTTCGCCTACGTCGGCGGCGCCCTCGCAGCAACCTTCATCACCGTCATATTCGTCCTACCCGTCTACTGGGGTTTCTGGCAACTCGGTCGCAAAGTCACTTTAGGTCCACTAGAGATCTCACAAGCATTCGGTGCGCCCATCATCGCGCCCGACAAGATGAAAGCATACCACGGCGACTTCGATCAGGTGCTCGAGGATGTTGGGGATAGGAGAGTGCAGTATGGGCAGCTCAAGAATGCGCCGCCGGGGCAGATGGGACTTGCGGAGCCGGAGAGGGTGGTGGTGACCAAGGCTAGTCATCGGTGGCGGGTTAGTGGGCAGAGGGAGAACAGGAGGATTGGGATCGGTGCTGTCTTTGGAGGGGCGGTTGCTGCTACCATGTCTGGGAATGCGAGGGATTGAGTGTGGTTTAATGGGGTGTTGTGGGTAATACAAGTGCGATGCAAGGGCAAGTTTATGTAGTTGTCCGGAGCGCAGTACGTGGTAAAGAAGGGATAGCGACTTGATGTATTGAATAGAAAGGCGAATGCAGTAATAATAGAGCAAGTGCAAAATAATACCTCGCAGACTTCAAGTGTTTGTCGTCTCGTCTGCCACGCTTCCCATCCTGCTGCTAGCCTCGCTTATGGCCCCGCGGCGGTCACGCCTCAACCACCGGCTCAAAAACATACTCCATCCACCACAACGTCGCTACGACGTGTGAAATGGCAAAAAGAATGGTGCAATGCATCGGCCGGGAATCGAACCCGGGGCTAGCCGAAACTGTCCTGTGAAGGATGGCAACGGCTAATTTTACCACTAAACCACCGATGCGTGAATCATTGAGATGGATGATTTGATGGAAAGACGACAAAATCGATCGTTTATATTCTTAGTGATAACAAGGGGAGATCAGCGAGCTGTGCAACAGGCTCTGGGTCCATAGCTTGGTGCGGTATAGCTTGAGGCACGAGTCGAGGGTGATCCACCAACCTTATGGGTCTCTACTAACGGCGTCTAGAAGATGGTGTGTTCGTCTTCTCAATCACGTACTGATAATCAGTGGATAGGGAAGTCTAGCAAATACTTTGTTACTGAGCATTGATTCATCTAGCAAACACATTCCTCTAATCAGAGGCTGGCGTATTTTGCAAAAGCTGTCACTGTATTTGTAATACTGGACAGGGAATCCCAACTGCATGGCTTCGCATTCTGCCTGATGTCGCGCGAATTCTTTTGATTCATACCTAGGCAGCAATGGAAACGGTAGACTATTCGGCAACATGACTGCTCGCGGCAATCGTACACGGAGTAAGAACGAAGCTGGAGAGCCCTTTCCAGTCTTGCTATCGCGCCAAGCCGGTGTGTTATCGTTGTACCTACCTAGGTGGGTAGTGCATAGATCTCGTACTACATCGCGGAACAAAGCTTGGTATTCGTTTCCCCAGCGTGCTCCAGATCGTCGACTTACATAACACGACCACCGATATACCCAGACCCAGTGCCTTTATCGCTGCTGCGCAATGTTCCGTCCTGTGGTAGCCCAAGCCAGACCAGTCCTGGAGTAATCCGACCCACAGCGGAGGTAATTCCGGTGGAGGATTCGACTTCTTCACACGCGACATTCCGCGAAGAACAGCACGATAGCGCCGCGTTCCTGGTAGATGTCCTGGAGTAGCAGGGGCTGGATAGATAACGCTTCTGTATCTGTGTGTCGCTCGACAGAGCGTGCAGCACATAGTCATCAACATCCCACGCTAACCGAAGTTGGAAGGTACATGCGACGTTCCGCCAGAGAGCATGACGGCGGTACTGCTTCGCGTGTTTGAACGTATCACCATGGGCTATCATCTCATATCCCCGCTTCTACGCTTAGAGATACGGGCTCGGCAGAATGTCTACGTCTGTAGATAAATTGCATCATGTCCCTCCAGACTGGACGACTTCTCTTCCACTCCATCTACGCCACACCAGCTCCGGGTGAAGACAACATCATACCGCCTTCCTTCCTTCAAGCATACACTACATCATGGCACCTCATCCCTTCAGTATCCTCAACATAGAGGAGACACGCGTTGCGCGTGACACAGTCCTCTCCCTCCACAAAGACTGCGTTGTCGACTTTCGAGAGATCTTCCTTCAAGAACCAGCAAAGGAGCTCATGAAACAGTACCTTGAGCTCGAACATGCAGCAAAGCCAGGACAGTCACCAGCTTCCAAGCGGCCACCGCGGTTGGCAAAGTGCCAGTACGACGTCATCGGCTCAGACAAGATACCAGAGTACCACGAGTCTGTTATTGATGTTGAGCAGAGGAAGAGAGTCCGGCACGAGATTGTGGGAAAGGAGAAGCAGGCTGCGTTGACATTGTGGGAATTCCAACACCTTGTTAAAGCGTGTGAGGAGAGTGATATGTTCAAGGAAGCTATGGCTGAGATCAAGCTGCCTGATGGGTTTGAGTTGGTCGTTGAGCCTTGGTAGGTACCCATGTCGACTTCAGTTTACCACGTTACTAACAATCATAGGCCATACGGTGGTCTTGATATTGGTGCTGAGAACCGAAGATACTTCCAAGGACTATGCTTCGCTCAGGATATGAGGAACGGAAACGCCGACTCAAACTTCTACGCCTATCCCTTACCGCTGATTCCTGTCATGGATGCACAAACCAGGAAGATCATCCGCGTTGATCGTCTAGCCACTGGTGGCAAGGGCGATAGCCTCACAGGTCAGACACACTCCGAGCGCGTTCTGGACCACTGCGAAGGCGCAGAATATGTTCCTGAACTATTGCAAGGCGGTCTTCGACAAGACGTCAAGCCCATCAACATCACACAGCCAGAGGGGCCTTCCTTCAGCGTCACAGACGAGTCACTGGTTGAGTGGCAGAAGTGGAGCTTCAGAGTCTCGTTCAACCCCCGTGAAGGAGCTGTGCTGCACGACGTCAAGTACGATGGTAGGAGTATCATGTACCGGATGAGCATCTCAGAGATGTCGGTCCCGTATGCTGATGCTCGCCCACCATTCCACCGCAAGCAAGCTTTCGACTTCGGTGATGGAGGCGCTGGCAACTGTGCCAACAACCTTTCTTTGGGCTGCGACTGCCTCGGTGTGATCAAGTACTTCGACGCCGTCGTTGTTGGTAACGATGGCGAACCAAAGGTCCATCCCAACGTAGTCTGTCTCCACGAGCAAGACAACGGTATTGGCTGGAAGCACAGTACGTATCACCACACCAACTTCTCATCCCAAACTAACTCACCAAACCAGCCAACTGGCGAACCGGCCGCGCAGTAGTCACCCGACTACGCGAACTTGTCATCCAATTCATCATCACCCTAGCAAACTACGAATACGTCTTCGCCTACAAGCTCGACACCGCCGGCGGCATAACCCTCGAAGTCCGCGCAACAGGCATCGTCTCCGTCGTAAACATCGACCCAGGCAAGACGTCCGACTACGGAAACGTAGTCTCCGGCGGCGTCCTCGCCCAAAACCACCAACACATCTTCGCAGCCCGTACGTCATCCTCAATCTCTCCTAACACACAAGAATCACTTACCTGACCACCCAACCAACAGGTTTCGACCCCGCAATCGACGGCCACAAAAACACCGTCGTATACGAAGAATCGCACTCAACCCCCATCAACGCAGCCACAAACCCCGCCGGCAACTTCTACGAGATCCGCAAAACCGTCATCGACAAATCTAGCGGCGTAGACGCAAATCCCTTCGACCACCGCGTGTTTAAGATTATAAACCCGTCCAAGACGAATCCTAAATCAGGGAACCCCGTTGGTTACAAATTCGCGCCGCTGCCCACGCAGAAGATACTCGCCGCACCGGGTAGCATACAAGCGCAGCGCGCGCTCTTCACGAACCACCACGTCTGGGTGACCAAGTACCAGGACGACGAGCTGTATGCTGCAGGACGTTTCACGATGCAAAGTCAACTTGAGGAGGGGGGTGTGCACGACATGGCGGCCCGCAAAGACGGGGTTGAGAATGAGGATTTGGTGGTGTGGAATGTGTTTGGACTGACGCACAACCCGCGGGTGGAGGATTGGCCTGTTATGCCGGTGGAGATTTACCAGGTGCATTTTAAGCCGAGTGATTTCTTTGAGAGGAATCCGGCGATTGATGTACCGAGTACGAAGAATCAGGCTAGTGTGCTGGTGGAGAAGGAGAAGGGGTGTTGTGGTGGGGAGCAGAAGCTTTGAGTGGTGCTAAGGGGGGTTTTGTTACTTGTTAGTTGGATGTATGGAGCATATTCAATGTATACAGCACTTTTGCATCATTGCCCTGGTGGTTGCGAAAAGGTAAAGCGTGGTTCATGCTACACTAAACTACGATGCGTTGCATCTTTCAAAAGACTAAACCAATCTGATAGTCATCCAATCGTCAAGCAGTGGTATACCAAAACGCCAATATACTCCAAAGTCATGTATGTTTGTACACGGGTATTTACACGCCCCAAGCGCCAGCGACGGCATTGAGAGCACCGTCAACAGCCTCCTCCAGGGTCTCGACCCTCAGTCTGAGCGAGCGGTTCTCCTCTCGCTCCTTTGCCAGACGACCCCAGACGGCGGATTGTGCACCGCCCTGGCAATTCGCGCATCCCCATCCGCCTTTCGCGATGTCGACTTTGCCCTCCTGCCTCTGCTCGTATGTGCTTCCGCGTTTCAAGGGTTGCGGCTTGCGTCCCTTGGGTGTGATGTCGTGGATGTCGGTGTCGAGGATGGAGGAGCGGTCGGTACCGGTGGGGCTGAGGCAGCTTCTTGAGAAGACGCTCGCGGCATCGGTCTCGGCTTCAGACTCGAAGCCGGAATCGACGCTGATCTCCGAGCCGGACACGCGGTTGTGGCGGCGGGCGTTCTCCTGGCATGGAGCGTGATCGCACTGTGGTGCGCCTCTGATGAGGGCTAGACTCCTCTTACGAGCCGCCTCTTCCTCTTGACGAGCCTTTCGCTCAAACGCAAGATCCTCCATGAGGCCTCGCATCTGCTCGTCTTGCTCAGCTGCCTTCGCCGCCATTGTCTCCAGCTGCATCTTCAAATGCCTTGCTCGTGTCTCAGCCTCGTCAAGCTCGTCATCCTGCGCACTTTGTTCGGCATGTGCATCTCCCAACGCGGTAGAGAGTTGGCGGTATGCAGTCTGGTAGCGAGAGAGCAGCGCTTCGGCGTTGGTGAGGAGGTCGTGGAAGGAAGAGGGCGCCAGTGGATCGGCAGGTCCGTGTGGGAAGAGCGACTGCGAGATGCTCAAGTTGAGGAGCTCATCGTCGGGGTTGTGGTATGTGGGAGACTGCTGCGGAGGGGGTACAGCGGCGTTCTTTTGCGTGGACAGCAGCCACGCGAACTTGCTGCTAGTGGTGGGCTGGCTCGGGGCCTTGCTCGGGGTCTGGGTGTCGTCTGATCGTCTCGGGC